TCCTCCACTTTAAATTTGGTCCTTCAACTTTTATTCAAATGTATATTAGTCCTCTAACTTCCATCAAATGGTCAATTGATCCTTCTTTCTTTTCTTGTTGCTTAGAAAGGGATCCAAAACTAAAACAGAAAGAAATTAAATTGAATTAGGTATAATTTCAACCTTTTGGCAATCTAAAACCTTAGTAATAAGGTCCTAGATAAGTTTACAAAATGCACTTATCAAATAATCCCAAAATAAAACCCTTGTTCGTCCTTGAACAAAACAAAACAAAATTTAGTAATAAACCAGATTACCATCCTTAACAAATCACAAGCAACAAACTTAACCTTGATCTGCTTACCATATGCCTCATGTTCGAATATAAGACACTTTACAAAGATCCAAACAACATCAAGAATAAATTTTTACTTATTTGATGCTCGACTTAGTGTGTGTGATTAGCTAACATTGGACTCACAACTAATCAAGTGTTGTCGATTTCTTCACAATCTCAATCCTCTTGTGGTCAGTTTTTCCTCACACCTCTCAAGCAAAATCACTTTTTAAGCTTTTCTCTCCAATTCTGAAGTATTTCTAGCACATGTGATTTTTTAAGAATTATTATAATGCATTTTTCTTCATAAAGTGATCAAAATTAGGTACCGATAAACTTAAAAAGGAGATGGTAAGCATTTTTCAAAGTTACACCACCAGTCTCTAGAGTTCAAGTCTCAAAGTCCTTATTAGACACTTCCCAATTTTGATAGTCTAGATCCCTTTTTCTTTCTTTTGACATCGTATGTGCAAGACTTTTCCCTATTAAGCTTTCTAAATGACCTTTATAACGAGTTTTAGGTCGATAACTTCTAAGTCAAATTACTATAGTGCACCAGGTTTAGAATACCTTTGTAGGCTTAATCACTCGATTCACAAAGACTATGAAGAGAGGTAAAAGATATATTATACTTTCTTTTGATATTAGATTCAATAATTTTCTTTCTTTTGACATCTTATATGAACAACTTATCTCCATTAAACTTTCCAAATGGCCTTATAAAGAGTTGTAAACCGATGACTCCCAAGTTAGATAATTATAGGGCACCAAGTTTTAAAAATCCTTGTACGCTTAACACTCGAGTCATAAACGTTATGTAAAGAAGTAAAAGATATATGATATACTAAGGATTTAGGAATTCGCTCATGTGTAGGTCAACAACATCAATAGTTAAATCCACATAATCAAGTCATATTCCAACATAAGTAATAAGTCAACATGGTTATGTGCTCAAATTAACAAGATAAGTATTCAAGTAAAAACATATGTTATGGAGTTGTCCAATATTCTAGCTAAAACTACAGTCAATTCAAACAAATATCATCATAGGCAGAAAGCCAGTCAACTGTAAACTAGACTCCATTTTGAATTTTTTCAAATAGTTAAATAGTTATACAGACTCAATCAATAGTTGAAATGTTAAATATAATTAGCATAAGTATCATGATACTTACCCATCCACCTCATATGAGAATAATACATTATCCTTAATGAAAAGGTGAAAATAGTCATAAATAAATGAGAAAGAGATCATATACATCTTGGAGAAGGATGTGGCTGAGTGGAAAAATCAGGCTAGTCCGATTGGCTGGATGAACTAGTGGTTTGAAGGACTCGAAGGTCCTTGCTATCTGGCTAACGTTTCAACTAATTGTTTCCACTTGATTCCCAAAATGTAGAATCTGTGCGTGCACTTGATCATAAGTGTAAATGATGGTTCTTTGATCATGGTACATCCTATCATAACTTTGTTGGAACCCAAGTACTTGCATACTCACTTTTTGCAGCTCTTCCACCATGTTGATCTACCTCTACTACATCACCTCTAAAATATTTGTCATTACACCAATAAATCTACCCAATTCCACCTGGGTTACCTGTATCTGAGCAACTATTTGCCCAAGAGGGTTGCGTTGGTAGCTAGAGCATGTTGTGGTGATGGATGTGTTTGCTAGGGATTATGTACTCTCTCTGCCCTATAAATTGAGTTTCAGAATTTTATATTCTTCTTCAGTTGATTGGGGATATCTGAGGAGCAATTCTTCAATTGACAAAAGTTGGACCTGACAGCCAAACAGATCTCACTGATAGGGCATAGGAACATGATACTGTGTTGAGGATTGATCAATCAGGCCAACTCTCATATGAAAGTGAAGATGTGGATCTTAAATCAATTTTATGTCTCTGTACCAAATGATAATGTAGTTGGACCCTTTCTTCTTTGAACGTACTTCGCTGGGTTGTAGGATGGGTATTAGTAGAGACGAAGCTATGAAGAAGTCTCAGCTCATTGATTATTCAAGAATCGATCCATAAAAAGTGGGCATGCATTACTTCCACTATATAAGAATTGGGGCCACCAATCCCATATCCAGCTCGGTAGGTATGGGCTCTATATCAATGCGACTCAGCTCATAATATCTATCAATTACTGTCGAGCCATTTGTCTTTTACTTATATTTTGGAGTACCAACTTCAGTATTGAAGTTGGTGAAGAACTCCCTCATCAAAGAAGGATAAGCTGCATGAGGAATTCCAACAACATTTTCCCAACCACAACGGTGGATAATTGATAAGTGTGTTTTTACACATCTATTCGAGCCACAAAAACATGACCAATTCGTTATAAATGCAGTTGGAATGTGGCTTAAGTCCACGTAATTTTGTTTTGTAGGTTATATTGATGGATGTTGAGGAATTCAAAAGAAAAGACGCGAAAAAAGACCAAAATGAAGGAAAACAAAAGTTCAAGGACCAAGGTGCGAAGACCCAAAAGATGACCCTAAAGAAGAATCGAGGGATTAATTGAGCTAAGTACTAATCGGGGGCTAATATTGGTTGATTGAATGAGAAGAACCAAGAAACGAGGATAAATGGAAGATAACAAGTTTCGGGACTAGAATGGCCTAAAGTGGAAGATTACTCTACTATGTGGTTGCATAGTAGAGAACGCTATGCGATCGCATACATTATGGCAAGGAATTAAGAGGTCGAAATCAAGAACTCTATGCCGTCACATAGCTTAGTGCCATGTGGTCACATACTTAAAATATGGGGACTGATCCTACAATTTTCTATTTTCGAAATAACTCTTTTGGAACTCAATTGGAACGTGATATAAAAACCTGGAGCCATCATATTTCAGAGGAGAATGCATTGGGAGGCAAGAAAACACATCTTAAAGCAAATTTGAAGTGACAACAAAGAAGGATCTCAAGAAGATTGACGAAATTTCATACGATAATCTGATCTGGTGATGCTATTTCTTTCAATTATCATGTATTCTGTAATTTTCTACATGTTAGCCTAAATATTTTTGAACTAGGGGATCGATGAGCCTTGTGATGTGATATTTAATTCTTTGTTTCATGATTCTGACATTATAACATGTTTGGATTAGTTTGAATGGTTTATATGCACTTATTTTCTCTACAATTATTGTGCACGTCATTTTGTGTGAGTTAGGTGACTTGTTCTTGCGTTTGAGAGAAGTGGAATATGTTTGACAGAGTATAAATCATCATAGAGTCTGATAAGGAAAAGAGATATATCTCTATGCCCCACGTAAATCTTTAAGTGCTCACAAAACCACATGCGTTTTTATACATTTGCATCCGTCATAGAGATATAGGTTGGTGGTGTATGAGAATAGGTTCGGTGCCACCGAGAGAGGGTGTTGGATAGATTTAGGAGCATTGATTTTTCAATATTCCATCATGTTAGATTGTGAAATTAAGGTTAAATTGAACATTGTTTGGGAATTCGTGTTCTAGTGCATTTAATTATCATCGAATACAATCAAATTGCGTTCCAACCATCAACTTACATTCTAATTCATTTAAAACATCATTTTGCATATTTAGTTCATTCAAATATCACATTTCCATAATTAAGATTTTCTCTAAATTAGGGTTTTCTTTAGGTCGAAAATTCACCTTGGATAAGTTAGTTTCGGTTAAGGCTAAGATAAATAAAATTAGGCTACTTAATCTCCTTGGAACGATATTCAAAACTCTAAAATCGACTTTATTACTTGTTGCGAACCATATATTTGTAGTGGTTTAAATTGAAATAAACAATTTCGTGAACAATAATCCTTCCTAACAGACTCTCCTGAAAATCATCCAAACTAAGACCCTCTTCTCTTGATAGAACTTATTGTCTTTCTAGATAGACTCAAAATTTCCTCTTTTTCTACAATTAGGAGCCACTGTACTCTTCCCTCATCTAGATTCTCGTTGACTCTCCAATGACAAGTCGAAGTCTCACCCACTTTGGATTTTCCTTTTTCTTGCGTGGTAGCAGTCACGCGATTTATGCGACGTGATTTTATACTGCAAATGTATGGTGTCAAGTTTTGTAATATAGTAATAGAGTAAAGAGTGTCGAATCCACATGGATTGTAATTTAAATTTCACTAAGTACTATAATTGTGCAATTTTTACTTTATTTAGACAAATGTAAAATTAAATGGATTTAATGTTTTATGAGTGAATAAATTAAACTAATCTAACGTGAATTGGATGTGACAAAATTGAGGAATACAAATTATCAAATAAGAACGCCTAGGGATTGATTTCACCTAACTTTCAATTATGATTTAACGATTTACAATAATTCCATTTAATTTTCCCATATTTAAAAGCAAGAATCCTAATATATTCCTCTCCCCTCTCTCGAGTGCCAGTTAGAAAATAATCCTAGATTCCAATTCCAATATCCCTATTCCGAATTGAAAATCAAGAATTTATAAAAGTCCTGATTCTTGTATAGAGTAAACTTCACAAATTTTACACTTTTTCTCGAAACCCATAAAACCTATGTTGTGTCAATCTTATGATCATGCCTAAATTCCCCTCTCTCAAGTGCTGGAATTGACTTAACATCTATTCATTCAATTATTGATCAAGTAATTGAAAGCATTAAAATCATGACACAATTAAATATATGTGGAAAAATCAAGGAAATAATTATAAAATCATCAAACCATACTCGATTTGGCTACATCAAACACCTAAATAATTTGTTTAGTTCCTGATATAATAAATGAAAATCATACAAATTATAATAAACAATATAAGGAAAAGGATAGAAAAAACTAGTCTTTTGGATAAATCTTCAATCTTTTTCCTTGATGATGTTCCTCCTTCCTTTTGATATCTTCAATTTTTGCTTCCTTCAAATTGTGTGGTTGAATTCTTCAATCTTACCCCCTTCCATCCCTCTTTAAAATAGGTCTTTTTAATGGTATTTATAGTATCTTGAAGTTATTGAACGAATTAGGGTTGAGTTGGCCCAAGAAAAGATTTCATAAATATAAAATCCCGTTTTTCTGCGCAGGCGACGCCACGGCGCTGCGTTCACTATTGTTTTCAGCATCTTGGACGCCATGGCGCCCACTTCGGGTGGAAATGACAGTTTTCGCCTCCTTCAGTATTTTTGCCATAACTTCTTCGTTCGATGTCCGATTGAGATGATTCAAGATGCGTTGAAAAGTTAACTCAAAGGGCTATAACTTTTCTTCAAACATCATTTTCCAATTTGATCGTTTACTAAGTCAGAAATAGGTCTCAATATGAGACTGAAATTCTGGAGCATAACTTTTCGATTGGAAATTGATTTGTGATCACATTTTGCCTAAATTTGATCCCTTTGACATCTTTCTTCATCCAATTGACTCCTAACACTCTCGGATCTTGATGGCAAGGTTCGATACAAGTTTGGATTATTTACATTTTAGTCCCAGAACTTTGGATCTTGTACAATTTGGCCCATTCTCTCCAATTTTGCCAACTTTTGCTTAATTCCTCCAATTTCATCAATCTACTTCACAACATCAAAAACACACATTAAAACGTTCTAAAACACTCTCAAGAGTAACAAAATAACAAATTAGGTGGCATAAATATCATGAGTGTAGAGCACTCATCAGTAGCATTTCTATTGGATGGCATTTTACCTATTGATATAAATGAGGAATATATTAACATAATAGGAAACAAACACAAGGGTAAAATAAAGTGGAGAATACCTCCAAACTATACAACTCTACATCAATTTTCATGTACTAAAATGTGAAAACTCATGCCATGCTCGAGAAAATGTCATTGTATAAGCAGGTATCCAATGGATAAAGAAAATGTAGCTCACATTCCCTAAAAGAATGTGAAAGTGGTATTTTTGGGTTTTAACCCAAAGCAGAGCAAGAACTTTCACTACCTAAAAACGTGATAAAATAGTGAACTTTTCCCGAACAATCTCCGAGCATATTAAAGGTCATACTTTGTCTTATTCATATTCAAATTCGAGATCAAACAGAGGTTGTTTGGGTTAAACAACTATGTACCAATGATTTCGATTGCTAAATGAACCCAAAATTGACATAAATTTTTATTTGGGCATTTTATCAAACACATAGAATGCAATCAATTTTTTCCTAAATTTTAAACAAATTAGGACCTGAACCAAAGCTTCAATTTTGACACAGTAAACTCACAATCAAATTCTCCGCATCTATCTAATTCCCCACTCGTTAATCATTCAATTGTTTTTAAAAAAACACATTAATCACCATGTTTCGAAGCAAAAGAAAGAGAAGTAGGATTACACATACATCGAATTTTATTTGCTTAGATGACGATTGGATAATGAAATTGAAGGATGTATATTTGAAATCAATGCCTATTGTCGATTGAGTGCCTTCTTGATGAGTTTCGAAGATGACTCTGAACAGAGGTAATTGCCGTGCATTCTGAGATAACAGTAAAGTGAATTTTTGGGAAGCTGCCATGTGAAGTAGAAGTGGATTGAAGGTCCGTGACCCAGTCTATGCCATGAGTTTGAGAGATAAGCACCGTGTGTGCTTAAGAGAGATGTGTCGTGGGTTTTGTGTTTGTGTTAGTGCTTATTCAAAAAAAATAAAAAAATAAATAAGAGCAATGCTATGGAAACACTGGCTAAAATAAAGGTTGCACATGTGTCGATACATTATCGAAGAGTTTGAAAGATTTAAAATAAAATAAAATAAAAAAACCAACAACTTGCTATCACATAAGTCAGTTTTTCGTTTCTTATTTTTTAGCCTATCTGTTTATCATTTTCCAAAAATAGTGCCCTGCTCTGTTTTTGAGTTGCGCAGTCACCTAGTGTAAAATTGGTTGATCACCCAGTAAAGTGAAATTACGTCTATTTACCTTAGAAGGTACTACCAACTATGTTGGTCTTTTATTTATTTATTTATATACTAAGGCCTTGGGGTGTGTGATAAAATCATTTTATGATTAAGTCCACACATTTAAGCCTAAATTCATGGTCAAGTTCTTACGATATAACTTGAAAACTAACTAAAATGTGATTTTAAAAAAAAAAAAAATCATCTAAGAGCATGATTGCGTGAATAAGATCATAAAATATTAATGTATTCCCTAAACTAAATGCAATGCAATAAGTAATACAAAAAAGTGGAAAGGGATAAAAAAAAATGGGTTGTCTCCCATCAAGCGCTCGGTAGTCTAGAGCTTGACTTGTGGTTGATTCACTTTGGTGTTGCAACATGAATCATAGACATTTTTTTTTTAAATCCACCAATCCATTATGCTGTTAATTGTTATCCATTAATTTTACATGTTCCTTTATTTTCATGAGTAATCTCAACGGCCCCATATGGAAAAGCTTGAGTAATTGTGTATGGCCCCAACTACCTTGACCTTATCTTGCTCGTAAAAGCTTGAGTCTTGAATTTTTTAACAAGACGTGTTGTCCAACTTCAAACTTCTTCTTTGAATATGCATACCATGCAACTTTTTGGTGTGCTCATTACTCAAATTCGTGTTCTCATAGGCTTTCAACCGAAACTCCTCCATCTCATTCAATTGAAATAGTATTTTTTATCGGCTGCATGCAAAATTCAAGTTCTTGACTACCCAATAAGCTCAATGCTCCTACTCAAATGGCAGATGACAAGCTTTTCAAAAACAAGATGATAAGGAGAGATGCCTATAGAGGCTTTGTATAATGTTCTATAGGCCCACTAGGCATCGTCAAGTTCTTTAGACCAGTCTTTTCTTGAGGAACTAACAATCACCTCAAGGATCTACTTTAATTCCCAATTGGATATTTCAACTTGCCCACTGGCTTTGAGGATGGTAGTGGGTAACTATCGATGTCGAATGCCATATTTAGCTAACAAGAACTCAAATTGATGATTGCAGAATTATTTACCCCAATCACTAATAATTGCGCTAGGCATACCATACCGATTGAAAATGTACATTTTCAAGAAATTTATCTCCATCCTGGCATCATTAGTTAGCAATGCAATTGTTTCCATCCATTTAGAGACATGATCAACTACAACAAGAATATATTGATTTGAGAATAAAGGGAAAAATGGTTCCATGAAGCCAAATCCCCACCTGGCATCATTAGTTGGCAATGCAATTGTTTCCATCCATTTAGAGACATGATCAACTACAACAAGAATATATTAATTTGAGAATGAAGGGGAAAATGGTTCCATGAAGCTAATTTAAACACATCAAGCAACTCAACCTCAAGAATATTATTCAAAAGCATCTCATTCTTTCTAGAGATATTCCCTGTGCGCTACATCTATCATATCTCTTTGCAAAAATATAAGCATCTCTAAATATTGAAGGCCAATAGAACCCAGACTGTAGTATTTTGCAGTTGTCTTTAAAGCACCTAAGTGTCCAACATAAGCAGATGAATGACATTGCTTGAGTATCTGAGGAACCTCTTTGATAGAAACACATCACCTAATAATCTAATCCAAATCGCCTATAGAGAATAGCATTACTTCAAGTCTTCTTTTGATGACTTAAATAATCTAATGGAATGATGGATTTGAACCGAATGGAACCGAACCCGAACGGTTCCATAATTATATTTGGACCCGACGGTTCCATTTACTAGATACCCGAAAAGTTTGGAACCGAACCGAACCGACCCGCGCCCACCCCTATTGACCAAATAATACACAATATCTACATACCATGGTGCATTCTCCATATTAAAAATACGTTCATTTGGAAAGGTCTCCTTTATATCTAGGGCTGGGCAAATCTCCCGAACCGAACCGACCGAACCGAATGACCAAATAATACACAATATCTACATACCATGGTGCATTCTCCATATTAAAAATACGTTCATTTGGAAAGGTCTCCTTTATATGATTATATCCATTGATTCTTTCTACTCTCCATGTTTAAATGGAGATAAATGGTTATTTGCTACATTTTCACTTTCTTTCTTATCTCTTATTTCCAAATCAAATTCTTGTAGTAGTGCTCATATGATCAGTCTTTATTTTGCATCCTTTTTTGTCATAAGATACTTCAAAGCTGTATGGTCGGTATAGACTATTATCTTTGATCTAATAAGATAGGATCGAAATTTATCAAAGGCGTAGACTACAACTAGAAGTTCCTTTTCAGTGGTGACGTATTTTAGTTGTGCATCATTCACTAGTCACTTGCATTATCTAGTGTAATTATTATTGGTGTTAGAATTATCCTCTCTTTTAGAGTGTTGAAAGCCAATAAACGCTCTTTAGATAAGTTAAAATAAACATTACTGATTAGCAGATTGCACAGAGGTTTGGTGACTTTGGAGAAGTTCTTGATAAAGTGGCGATATAATCCGGTGTGACCAAGAAAATTGCGAACACCCTTAACTGAAGTTGGTGGTGGTAATTTCTATATAACTTGAATCTTTTCTTTGTTCACTTCACTCCCCTTAGATAAAATTAAATGCCTTAATACGATGTCTTCTTGTACCATGAAGTGACATTTTCCCAATTTAGAACCAAATTAGTTTCCTTACATTGCAGCAAGACAAGTTTTAAGTGCTCTAGGCACTTATCAAATGAAGAACTGAAGATTGAGAAATCATCCATAAAGATTTCTATAAATTTTTCCACCATATCAGAGAGGATGGCTATTACGCAGCACTAAAATGTAGCGGGAGAATTGTATAGACCAAATAGCATCATATGGAAAGCAAAGGTTCCGTAGGAACGGGTAAAAGTAGTCTTCTCTTGATCTCGAGAGCTATCGATATCTGATTAGAACTGGAATATCCATCAAGAAAGCAATAATGGGAGTGACCTACTAACCTCTCCGACATCTGATCAATAATAGAAGGGAAAAGTTATCATTCTGAATAGCAATGTTGAGTTTACAATAATTAATACAAACTCTCTATCTTGTAATAAGTCCAGTGGAAATTAGATCATACCCCTTTTCGGCATAACCTAAATAGGGCTTATCTATACACTGCCTGAGATAGGATAGATGATCTTTGGATCCAAAAGCTTCAACACTTTTGCTCTAACTATCTCTTTCATATTCAAATTAAGGCTCTTCGATTGAAAATTATCCTCCATGAGAATTTTTAACGTGTAAAGTGTAGGGTTGATCTCTCTGATGTCAATAATAGATTACCCAATAGCTATCTTATTTTCTTTGAGTATTCGCAACAGTCTATTTTTTTCGAGCATCTTGATGGAATTTGAATAATAATAGACAATGTGGAAAAATCTCCCCAATAGGTACAATGAAGATAATATGGTAATTGCTTGAGCTCTAACTTAGGAGGTTGTTGAATTAGGCAAAGGATTTGTAGATTCTATGTCCAACTTCTCAAAGTGTGGTCTGTGCTTATATGGATGATTGGTTGCAAGATGCCTTGTACACATTCAATCTCATTAGAATCAGAATGAATGGATTGAAAATGTACAATGCATGCCTCATATGGATCAGATGGATTATGCAACTGGAAGGTGTCATGAACTACCCTATCAATCACATTGATCTGAAAGTAATTGTCTGACTCAGTTGTGTATTTCGTGGTCTTGAATACATTAAATGCGACCTGTTCTTTACAAGTCTCATAATCAATTGACCTTTGTGTACATCAATAAGAGCTCTGTCGGTAACTAAAAATGGTCAACCCAAAATAAGTGGAATGTCCCTATCCTCCTCCATGTCTAGAATAAGAAAGTCAGCTGGGAAGATCAATTTGTCCACTTTCACTAAGATATCTTTAGTGTTTCCTTTTAGGTGCGTAATAGACCGATCTATTAGTTGTAAAGTCATTGCAGTTGATTTTAGCTTCTCTTAAGCCTAGTTTCTTGAAAACAAAGAGCAGGATCAAGTTAAGACTTGTACCTGGATCACATAAAACTTTATCAAAATAATCACCACATATAGTGTAGGGTACAGTGAAATTCCCTAGATCTTTTATTTTGTATTCCAGCACTACACTCCTCGATCAACATTACTATATCACGATCATCAAGCTTACATTTGTTAAATAGAATGTCCTTTAAGAATTTGGAATAACTACGCATCTAAACAAAAGCATCAGCAAAAAGGATATTGATGTGAAACTTCTCAAAGACCTCAAGGAATTTTGTATACTACTTGTCTACCTTGTGCCTTTGCAGTATCTGAGGAAATGAAATCAGAGGCTCCTATGGTTTGATAAGAGTAATTACCTTAACCCATGGCGTATCTGAACTCTCTTTAGTATATATTCTGTTGTTTGTTCCACATGCCATCAAGTACTTTTTCTTTATTTGCCATTGATCTCTTAACATAAATCTCAGTAAGTAGACCCCACTCTTGGTAATGATTGCTCTGACATGTTCATTGGGGGTTAATCTCTATATTGCTTAATAATGTATTTGGTGTTCTTCTTGATATAGCATGTGCCATTTGTCCCATTTGAGAAATCTAAACTTTTAATTGCTACATTTTGATTCTAAAGAGTTGTCTTAGTCTTTCTCATGAATTAATTATTTGCTTGGTCTATCTTTTCTATGATTCTACTAAACATATCTTTAAAGAAAGTTCTCTTCTCTACTTGTTGAAACTGAAAACATTGTGGTCATTTAGG